ACGGTGGAGAGGGGTGGGGGTGGATCGGGGACGGAGGGGGGAACCCGTAGTCCATCGGGTGGGGCTGACCCAATTGGAATCCTGACGCGTCACCCGGGGGTGGTGCAACGGCCTCTGGTGGCATGTCACAACTTGCCTGCGGGCAGAAGGAAGGAAAACACACCAACCAAGACCAAGAGCAGAGCACATGTCAGTCAGTGAGGGAGGCTCCATGGCATGCATGGCTTGATTGATCCTTGGAAGGGGGGTGCGGTGGGGTGCGGTGGTGGGTACCTGAGCGGCTGCAGCGGAGCTGTCAAGGGGAATGGTGGTCATCATCGGTCCTTCAGCCACTCCCAAGTGGCACCCACTGCTGATCTCACTGCTTGGCAGCCCGTCCGACACCCTCTGGCTGGCTGCCGCCACCTCAGCGTATTCCACGTCACGGTGCGAGTGACCATGACCCAGTGCATCTTCACCGTGTACTTGAGCTGACGACTCCTGACGCCCACGGCCCCGCCCCGCCTCGTCGGTGGGTGGGCCTGGGCCACCGGCTGGCTGGTGGTCTGCTGGCGGTGGCGATGGGTGGTGTGGTGTGCGGTGGTGATGTTGTTGAGGTTGAGGCGGCATCCCCTCTTGTGGCGAGACATCGACGCCATTGAGGAGGGCAGCACGGGGAGGGCCATCAGAGTCACCCGATGCCGACGGCGCAGACGCAGACACGCCGTCCGGCTGCTGAACTGGACCGACTTCAGACGCTGTCGGCTCACGGTCACGATAGGCGTCGCTCTCAGCCACAGATGCCCCCATCGGTGAGACGCTCTCCACCCCATTGTGGCCCCACCCGCTCGTCAGGATGGCTCCCTCGCCCTCGTGGTCACGGCCGCGGTCTTCAGTACTCCTGCCGGCACTCGATGACGCGTCATCTGTATGTGAGGCCCGTCGGCGGAGGGCCGGCTTCCATGGCTGCTTGGGGGCCGGCTGCGGAGGCTTCTTCGAGTGCGTTCGGTTCATAGCGTGAGTTAGCACAGAGTCAGATGACGACGGGGCGGCGGGTGCAGGGGCCGCTGATGCCGCTACGGATGGTGCCGATACTGGTGCGGCCGGTGGTGGGGCCCCTCCCGTGGCGGCCTTGGTCATTCCCTTGGTCCACACGCTGCCTCGTGGCTGGCTGGATGAGGGCTGCCTGCCGCCGCCGCCCAGACTGGGAAAGTGGTCAGGACTCAACTCGGGCGACTGATCCTCCCCTTGCTGCTGCCGCTGCTGTGGCTGTGGCTGTGGCTGTTGCTGTTGCTGTTGATCGGTGTCTGCCGGTTCATCTCGAGAGCTGCTGCCGTTCATGGTTGGTGGCGAGAGGAGATGCTGGATGATGGGCTGCGTTTCTCGCTCTCCTGCTTGTCCCTCAAGATTGGCTTCCCTGATCTGACTGCAGGCTGGTCCTGATGAGTGTCCTTGGCTGCTCGTTTGCCGCCCAGAAGACTGCTCGCTGGCCCTTTTGGATGTTGATCAGCTGGAGGGAACAAGGCCACGTGCGCCTCTGGAAAGACGTTTGTACAGAGATCTGTTGTGGCTAAGCTCGCAGACGCATGCGGAAGAGACCGTCGGAAGAGGCTCCACCATGTGGAAGAGGGAGGTGGGGGATAGGCAGAGGAAACAAGCTAGCTTCGATATGCCAGCGGACGGCTGAGTCAAACATTCATGAAACATGTATCAATTGACGTGTATCGAGGGAAAGGAAGGGTGGTTCGCTTCTCCGATGAAGTGTTTTGCATTGCACAGCAAAGACACCGAGAGATCAGCGCATATGATGCGGATAGCATAAGGTAGTTGTATCCCTACCGACACTCCACTGCCTAGCATAGCTGGTATGTATGCATACACACACACACACATATACATCCATGCACATATCACCCGATCAGCCAGTCGTCTGTCTGTCGGCAATTCTCTCCGCCAGGTGGCTGCTGGCCGGCTCCATTTGGGACGGACGGTGGCGCTTTGCGCTGAGGCTGCCTGGCTAACACGAGTGTGGGGCCGGGCCGGGCTGGGCCGGCGGCACGTCCGTCTATCTGCCCACACCCACGGAAAGTCATCGATCTATCTGTGTGTCTAGTGGAAGCCGCCCCAGGATGGCGGCAGGTGGTACCACCTGACGTACCGGAACGCAGACAGACAGACAGACAGACAAACACAGGGCATGAATGTGCGGCCAGTTAGCTGTGGTGATTGTGTGCGGTGGGGTGCGAGTGTAGACCACCAATGCGAGCAGGGCACGCCGGGAGGAATCTTGAGGGACAAATCCATCGCCTGCATAGCATACAATACACGCAACACAATCAACACAGACAGACAGCACCGGGCCAGCACATGTATGCATGCCATCCAGGTGATTGCGATGCGATGCGATGCGGTGGCTTTGATTCATTCACTCAACCCTCTGCCTGCCCTCACAAAGCAACGAATGAATGCAATTACTCACCTCAGTGTGGCATGCGCGGATGGAGGTGTCGAGTTGCACCATGTTGTCCGACAACTCGGACATGATGGGGATGGCAACTTCCTCCTCGCCGGAACTGCTGCTGCTGCTGGTGCTGGTGCTGCTGGTGGGCGAGGATGCTGCCGACGAGGAGTTGCTGCCCTCGAAGATGTCACTCAGGAACTGCAATCAAAAAAAGGGAGTCATGATCGGTACCTACTGTTGCCTGCAGGGAGTCCGTATATCCATCGGTGTACGTACGTACGTACCTGCAGTGCGCTTCTCTTCCATGGAACGCATCCCCACTCCTCGAACCCCGACACCCACATGTCGTACACCTCCAGATGATCCCTGCATGCATTGCAATGCATGCATCACACATACACACACACATACACCCGCGTGGCCACCATTGACAATTGTCCTCGTGTGCGTGCAACATCGGTTATTTGCTTGACTACTCACTGGCACTGGTCGATGAAGGCCTCAACATGTTTCTTGAGAGGGAGTGCAGCGTCATTGTGGGCGCCGGCGTTGCTGAGGGCAGCGGCCCTGACCATGCGCCTGAACATGGTGTTGGCCCGGCTGCCCTGCCACACCTTGGTCCGATTGCTGAAGCACCCCACACGGAACACGCCACTCATCAGCAGCTCACGGTCGGCCTTCTGCTTGGCACATGACGCCTTAATCGACGCCACACTCGACAGGCGGCTGAGACCGGTGAACACGTCGCCTAATGTGTGGACCGACAGACACATGCGTACATCCAATCCATGAGCGTGTATCTATCATATCATGCATAATCAATCAATCAGTGAGCAAGTATGTGTGGGTGTGGGTGTGGGGTATGCGCACGTTGAGCCTCGATGATCTCCTTTGGTGTGTTAGACAGATCCGTGAACAGCTGCTCGTATCGCCTGCCGTACGCCCCCTCGGGCCCCGTCGCATACGACAGGAACGTCACACCCACAGTCTGAGTCACCAATACACAGAAGAACCCCTCTCTGAACGTCGGTCGCACCACACCAACAGACAACACATCACGACAGACGAACGGACAGACAGAGCAACACCACCCATAGTGCTGCTGCTTGAAACCTGAGCCCACTCCTCACTCACCGATTTGCGCCCTGGAAGGCCGCAGTGTTCCAACTCTTGCACGCACGTAGGATGCTCTTAATGGAGGCTGCACACACAAAACACAGGGCCGTGAGGGACATGGCGAGAGGGAGAGGGAAGTGAGCTTTTTCGTCTATTTCCCCCGGCGCACCGAGGTCGGAGCACACGCAGATGGACAGCAGGAGGTTGTCGGGAAGCTCCCGCCAGCCAGCCTGCGCCATCGCTGTGATGGCTCAGTGAACGCGAGCTCAAATGTGTGAAAGTGGCGAGAATTCTCGTCTCCGCTCGGGCTTATTGATTCCAAGAGACCTACGATGCCGCATTCTCATGGTCAGCAGCCACTCTCAAGCCCTAGCCGCATGCAATGACCGAGGTCTTCCCAATTGGGTCTTCCTGGTAGATCCGGGCCGATATCATGCGGCGCGCGGGACGGCGTTGTGATCTGTAATTTCTCTTTTCTAACGATTCGAGGCCTTCAGGGCCTTGGCTCAAGTCGTGGAAATTTCAAATATAATGGGGACTCTCGGAAAGGCAATTCTTCTCCTATCTGTCCATCTGATGCATGTAAGAAGCTACACTCACATGCAGACAGATACCCTTGATGTGAGCACATCAAGTGGCTGTGTTAAATGTGGTCGTTTGTCGTGGCGACATGACATCGGGCAGGCGGCCATGGGTGCGACCTGCGAGCATCGACGGCTGCGCAGAGCGGGAGAGGCCACCAATGGCCCATGCCATTGTGAGAACTTCGACGACACCTTCTACAGGCAGATAGAGCGCGACTTGGCTGTGTGGCGGAAGACGGGCGTCGGCGGTCAAGTGGAGACGCGAATGGACCAGCGGCTGTGGCCTGAGAGCATCAAAAGAGCCAAGATGCAGGTCAGGAAGGAAGGAAACAAAAACCACACCCTCCCGCGCTTTTCCTCACCGCTGCATGCATGAGATGGTTTGTCGGTGGTGTGCATGCGCATGGCATGTCTGTGTGTCTGTGTGCAGTGCAGATCGATGGCAACAGGCTGTACTTAGTGAATCATCCGAGCGGTGGCCGTGCGAGGAAGCATGGCAGGATGCGATGTGCCCTGGAGGTCATCCTCGACGCACTCAGACACTGCACTCTCCCAAGTGTCAGCTTCTGGCTTAATGTAGCCGGTAGAGTAGGCGGGAGAAATTGAGGGCAGACAGACGCAAACACACACGTACTGTACACTACTGAAACATTGTTGTGTGGTGTGGTGTGGTGTCGACATTGTGGTGACTGACGATAGATTGGCCTCTGGTGCCGAAGAAGGCGTCCGAGGGTCCCATCCCGGTGCTGTCCTTGGCCAAGAGCGACGACTACGCGGACATCCTCTTCCCCTCGCCCTTCCTAGCTTGTGAGGCCGATCAAATCCGCACACAAGCTGCCAACAGCGTCCGTCAGCCAGTCACCCGACCACAAATCAACTGACTGACACATCACATGCAATGCATACGAACGAACCAATCAATGTACTTACGTATGTGTGCATCGCATCTCTTTTGTGTGCTGTGTGTGCTGCGTGTGCAGTCTGTGCCATGGGCTTCGAAGAGGTCGGTCATTTTTTGGCGGGGCCATCCGTGGTGCGACATGAGCCGGCCCTCACGCGCTGCAGCCAACGAGAGCACATGTTCCCGGCTGCTCCTCAGGAATCATTCCATCGCAAGACCCGGTGTGTGTGATGGCCCCATGTGTGTGTGATACGGGCGTACAAACGTGTCCGTGTAGTTCTGCGTTGTGCAGACATGGTTGATGCGGGGCTGACAGCGTTTTTCAACGACTACCTGCCTGAGGAGTCTCAGCGTGTGTGGCCCACGCTGTATGGGCCCAGGATGGCCCGCGTGCCGCTGCACGAGCATGCCAGGTACAAGTACCTCATGCACGTCGACGGCACCACTTACAGCAGCAGAATTGGTCCGTGGGCGCCTGGAAAGTGGGTTGATTGATGTGCACGTGTGAGGAGTCAGTCAGTGAGTGCACAGCGTAAAGCAAAAGGCTTGTTTGTTTCTTCAGGCAAGCTGTTGCTTCTGGACTCAGTGGTGCTTAAGCAGGAGAGCCCATTCTACGAGTTCTACTACCCCCCTATGGCCCCGTATGTCCACTACATACCTGTGCATAGAACCCTGGAAGACCTCCAAGACGTACGTACTGGACTGTACTACTGCACTGTACACACGCCATGCCACACGCCATGCCCACCACATCGACAGACGTACGTGTCTGTCTGTCTGTGTATATATGTGTGCAGGTGTATGTGTGGCTGTCAAAACACGAGGCCGATGTGCTGAGGGTGCGCAATGAGGCCGTGAGATTCGCAGACAAATACCTCACCCGCAAGGCAGCACGGTGCATACCTACACAGACACACACGAGCATTGCACACACACACACAGTGTCTGTGTTGTGTGAGTGGCGTACGGTACGCGTGGGCATGTCATGTGCACTGCAGATGCTATGTGGTGCGGTTGCTGCACGAGTATGCCTCTCTGCTCACACACCCTTCGTCCCGAGACGGCCCCAATAGGGTCGATCGGTTGGAGTACAGAGGCACACCCGAGGAACAAAAGGCCTTGTTCGAGACATCTATGTGGAGCGCTTGATGAATGAATGAATGAATGAATTCAGCAACTGACCGTCGGCCGTGCACACAATGGTTGTTGATTGAAACGCACAAGCGTCGGTATGTGCAGGTCTGTCTGCATACATGACATGGAAGGAAGGAAGTATGTCTGTCTGTACGTACGTGTGGGTGGATGGATGGATTGATGGACGAGTGCAGCCAGCAAGCCACCCACCAACCCGCCGACTGATAAAGCATCCAACCTCTCGCCCATTCACCCATCCTTACCAGCCTACCAACCTCTCTGTCTGTCTGTCTGTCTGTGCATCACTCACTCCCTCACTCATCTCTCCTAGATTCATTCATCAGACCACAAAGCCTGCCTGCCTGGCAGACACCCCCCCGCCCGCCATACCACCCACACCTTCATTCCTCATATGACGGTGATTTTCGGCCCCTCGGTGGCCCTGCCCACGGCCTTCTGCAGATAGGAAGTCAGGCTCTCAAGGCTGCTGGACGGCACATGCAACACCTGAACACACGCAGACCACAGCACAAACAACCAGCCGAGCCAAGCTTGTGTCCCGGGTGGGGTGCGGGAGTGGAGTGTGTGGTGGCTCTGACATCGCATGCGGGCACGGGGCTCTTGTCGAATCTCTTGGCCCCTGAAAACTCCACCTGGTTGGCAAACGCTTCATCATTTAACCAACACACCACACATCACACATAGATAAGTACTGCTGGTCTGCGACGTGACGCGAGTGCGTGTGTGTGCGTACACATGCCCCAGTAGAAGAAGCGCGAGACGTTTTTTGAGAGCCTGAGAAGCCCCGGTGAGACCCGGTTGACCTGTGCGCTCTCGCCCCTGCTGCCCATGAGGGTCTTGCACAGACTCAAGATCTGCTCTGTCGTCAAAGGCTGGATGGACCACACACACACACACACACACAGATGGATGGATGGATGGATGGAACAAACAGAACCGGACGATTTATTTATGGAACACGATGGATGGCATGGATGGGCAACGCAATGCAACGCACCTGTGGCCCAACGAGGTCCAAGATCTTGTTCTCGGCCCCGGGAAGCTCCAGCGCCCTGATGGATTTATACATACATACATCACATCCACACGTGTGTGCGTGCAGTACGTACAAGACAGGCATAAGAAACAACAAATATCAGCCGGTCTGTCTGGCTGGCTGTCCGGCTGTCTGTCTGTGTGTCAGACATGCATGCATAGAAGTACCTGAGTGAGTAAGTACCTGAGTGCGAGTCTGCCGGCATCTTCCTCCGCGATGTAGGGCACTCCCTCATCGCCCTGTCCCTCTGGCGGCAGATACACGGGCTCGCCCAGCTGCATCGGACGAATGAACTCACTCACCACACCTACACGTACACATACACATACACACGCATACCATACACACACGCATGTGCACGCACATACACACGTCCGTCGGTCGGTGTGTTGGATGCAGTCAGTCAGTCAGTCAGTCAGTGGGTGTGTTGATGCGGTGGCTGTTGTCAGTCACTGACCGCTGTAGAATCCGGGGACCCTGAGGATGGTGTAGGGCACGTCCGAGTCCTGAATGACGTTCTCCATGACGTACTTGTACTTGACCCGCGCCACGTCGAGGAACCGCTCGGCGTCTGTCACGCTGAAGAAGACCAGCCGCTTGACCTGCGCTGCCTCGCACGCCGCTACCAACGCATACTTGCCCTCCCAGTCAATCTGCACGCAATATACATGCATACCCGCACACGCACCGCACCGGACAGGACACAGATCCCATCCCGACAGGCAAGGCGTGCGTCGGGTCGGGTGTCGTGTCGGACCTTTCTCTGGGCTTCGAGTTCGATGGCTCGTGTGGCTGATGCGTCGATGACGGCCGTGACGCCCGCCAGCGCCCCTGGGAGGGTCTCAGGCAGACTCAGGTCACCATACACTATCTCAGCTCCCCAGTCTGACAGAATGGACCCCTTGCTGCACACACACACATCCATCCATCTATCCATCCATGCATCCACCAGGGCGGACAAGCAGTGCAGGTGTCGTCCCTTTCACTCACTCACTCACGTCGACCGGCCCACCCAGCTACCTACCGTGGTGATCTGAGGATGCATCTGACGTCATATCCCCGGTCGATGGCATTCTTGACAATGATGCGGCCCACTGTGCCGGTGCCGCCCAGCACCAGCAGCTTGCCGGGCACAGGGGGCGCCATCATACGCAGGGACCGTGACAAACCGACGCGATTGTGTGGTGGATTGGGTACCTGAACAACACAAAAAGGACAATGTGAAAGCAAGCCATTGACAGACAGTGGCTGTCAGGCAAATCCATGGTTCTGCGTACGTGTCTGTGTGTCAAGGGGACCGGCTGCCTCCTCAAGACATTCCGGTGCGGTCCTTGGAAAGCGACGCCTGAAGGCAGACACGAATGAGATCAGATCATCATGATGCAATTCGATTTGCCGTCCGTCCGTCGTGCGCACCTGATGGGTCGAATGGCGTCCTGCTGGTGTGTGCATTGGCAGTCCATGGCAGCCACGCGCACACCCAGCAGAGCAGCCATCTGCACAAGCGCATGGCTGCCTGCATCGACAGATCTGTGGTGCTCCTTCTCCCTCCTTTTTTGGGTGGCTAAGCTCGCGTAGATCTGTGAGGTCGGCGAATTCATGACATGAGGGTGGCGGTCTGGTGCATCTTGTGGTGCCTGCATTCGACATCTGCACTTGCATTTGTGGTGAGGTGCATGGAGCGCCATGCTGCCCCGCAGCTGCTGAATGTCGATGCTTTGCTTCACTCATGTGTGGCGGCCATGGCCATCCATCTCTGCTCTGTGTCTGTCTGTGACATGCAGGTGGTCCGTCCGACGGCAAACAGCGGGTCATTTCGGCAACACAGCCGCAGTCGGCGTTTGCTCCGCACCGCCACCAGCATGACGACGGCCGTTAACGGCGGACCCAAGGAGGTCGGTGATTCACTCACTGAGACCACTCTTACATGAGTGGCAGCCAGCCAGACAGATGAGTGGGTGTGCGGTCTGTGTGCATGGCATGGCATGCAGGATTATCTGGCCGTGCATGTATTCGGCGAAGTGACGGCCGGCAACGAAAAGGACTTTGCGACGGCGAGCCATGCCAACGCCAAGAACTCGGTTAACGAGGCTGGGGTGGCAAGGTTCGACTTTCTGCGGGGCGAGGCTGACCCGTCGCGCTTCTGCCTCATCGAAGGTGCGACACATACACTCATGGATGGCTGGCTGGACGGCAGATGGGTTATTCCGTGGTGACCTGCTGTGGCATGTGCATCTCTTCTCTTCTCTTCTGTCCTCTCTCTCTCTCTCTTGCCGCCGCTCCTGAATTGAAGTCTACAAGGACAAAGGTGACAGAGACAGACAGACAGACAGACAAAAAGGCAAACAGACTTGCTGGCGTTCCGTTCCAGCAAACACACGCCACGTACATCACGCGGACGCCTCGCCTCTTGTCTGTCCTGTCTGTCCCCTTGAATACATCCATCCATCCATCCATTTAGATGCTCCCGCAGCCCACAAGGAGACGGCGCACTACAACACCTGGCGGTCGACAGTGCAGGAGTGGATGGCTGAACCACGGAGCGCCAAGAAGTACACCCCCATATTCCCACCCGCTGCCTATTGGGACATCGAGGCGTCGGCCAGCGAGTCGCCCAGCCCCCTCGATGCCACAGAGACACCACTGCTCTGCGTCATGGTCGATGTGCAGGTAGACAGACAGACAGACAGACAGACCCACCGGACCGCTAGCTAAGCGGCTGGCTGGCTGGCAGGAAGGCAGGAAGGCAAGCCAACAAACAGGCGGTGTTTGTTCACCTGTCGTGCGTGGCTTTGGCTGGTGTGTTGTGCTGTGTGTAGGTGAAGGAGGGTTACGAGGAGGCTTTCATCCAGGCGACACGTGCCAACTGCGAGTGCTCGGTGCGTGAGCCTGGGGTGTCGCGATTTGACCTGCTGCGCAACAATGACGACCCCTGCAACTTTGTGTTGGTGGAGGTCTACAACAACCCGGAGGCTCCCGCGCTACACAAGGTATGATACCTACCTACTTGAGGGGGGGCTCAGATATATGCTCGCACCGGCAATGAAGGACAATCGTGGCCAATGTCCCTCATTGACGGTGTAGGAGACGAAGCACTACCAGACGTGGCGCGAGACGGTGCAGGAAATGATGGCTCGGCCCAGGCAGAGCGAGAAGTTTATCACACAATTTCCATCCAGGTCGGTCAGTTTGTAGGGCGGCACACACATCGCACCGAGCGCATCACACACAGTCAGTCAAGGATGGACGCGACGCCCTTCTGTGGGCTCACCCACTCACTCACTCACTCACTCGTGGCTGACTGGCTGACTGGCTGCACTCACTGCGTATATGTGTGTGTATGTGTGGATATATGTGATGGATGTGTGGGATGTGTGTCCCTCCCTAGGGTCCACTGGCACCGTGTGGAGGCCCTGACACACAAGCCCCTCACAGAGCCACTGGGCTTCCCGGGAACCTTCGAATTCGGTTGGTCAAACACACAGAACACAGAGCTCCCTCCCTCCCTCCCTTGACATAAATCACACAAATGAATGCCATGCCGTGCATGACCTGACTGACCCGCCCACACACGTACGGTACGCGTACCTACGTCCGTCCCTTGTGTGTGGTGTGTGCGTGTATGTGTGCAGTATCTGCGGGCAAAATCATGTTTGGGAAGGGGTGTGCGTCTAAGCTGCCTGGGATTGTCAAGAAGGCCGGCAAGTCGCGGGCCCTCATCGTAACGGGCAGCCACGGACAGGACCGACACAAACACATCATCGACTCACTCACAGTAAGTCACCCACACACACACACACACACAGACACTCTTTACATATATGTGGACACCCATTCATTGTTGGCACCATATGTATGTGGATGTGTGTGTGTGTAGGATGAGGGCATCTCGTGCGCGTTCATGAGCATCGGCAAGGAGCCAACCGTCGAGGACGTCCGCGCCGGCACACAGGCCGCCAGAGACGCCGGATGCGACACAGTCAGCCCCTGCACACACACACACACACTCACACACACACACACACGCGCACACACACACAGAGAGAGAGAGAGACACTTCGCTGCCTGGACATTTCCCCTCCCTGTGTGTGTCCTGCAGGTTATATCGATTGGTGGCGGGAGCGCAATCGATGCAGGCAGGTTCTTGTGGATGTGGCTATGCTTACATGCCATGTGTGGACATATGCGGCTCTTTGTATGGACGCCTGTCGACGCAGGCAAGGCGATCGCATCTCTGCTGGCCAACGGGGGCGACCCCTTGGACTACATGGAGGTTATTGGGAAGGGCATGCCCATCACACAGCCATCCGTCCCCTTCTACGCTCTGCCCACCACTTCCGGCACCGGAAGTGAAGTTACCAAAAATGCCGTACTCGCCTCACTACAACACAAACAAAAGGTAGCGAGGGAAAGAGCTTCGTAAGTGGCGCGGGGTGGGTGGTGAGCTCGCCGTGTGCATATCGAGATGGATTGGGCACTCTATCTCTCTCGCTCTCTCTCTCGCTCTCTCTCTCTCTCTCTTTCTCTCTCTGTGTGTGTGTGTGTGTAGGCGTCGATGCGGTCTGAGCTGATGCTGCCGACGATGGCGATTGTTGACCCGATGCTGACGGTGTCTGCCCCATGCAACGTTACCGCTTCCACCGGCCTGGACGCACTCACGCAGGTATGCTGGATGGATGGGTGGATGCCATACGTCCAGACACACACGCGCACCCTTCACGGAGTAATGGGTCGTCCTCAGTGCATCGAGCCATATGTGAGTCACCTGGCGAATCCGCTGACGGATGCTTTGGCCAAGGAGGGCATCAAGAGGGCAGCCAGGAGCCTCCGGGCCGCTTACAGAGACCCCAAGGACATCGCCGCACGAGAGGAAATGGTCAGTCAGCCAGTCAGTCACAAATACATACATGCGATGCGCACACGAGTCACTCCTCGACTCCTTGACTCATTCACTCACTAACTGACTGCAGGCTCTGGCGTCTGTCTTGGGTGGGTTGTCTCTGGCCAACGCCAAGCTAGGTGCTGTCCATGGCTTTGCTGGTGTCCTGGGGGGCTTATACCCTACTGCGGCCCACGGCGCCATCTGCGCCGCACTACTGCCCTTTGTCTTCGAGATGAACGTCGCAGCACTCTCAGACGAATACGTACGTGGGCATTCCCTCCCGTTGACGGATACCAGCCCCCGATGGATGGATAGATGGATGAGTGGGCATTCTCTGTCTGTCCGTTTACTTACGTGTCTGTCTGTTGTCTCCCCCGCCCCATTCAGAGCCGCACGCAGGACCCGGCCGTCGTGCGGAGGTTGGCGAAGTTCACGGAAGTGGCCAGGATAGTCACCAGTGAGTCAGTCACCAACCAGGCCTGGCCTGACGCACACAAGACACGCAACAGGCAGCCCTCCCTGTGTAGCATCCATCCATGCGTCCACCGTTTGACTATTCCTCCTTGTTCATGTGTGTGATGACGGGTCGATCAACCGATCGATCTATCTTGTGGCGATCGATCGATCAGACAATCCCGATGCGACGGCTGAGGAGGGCGCCGAGTGGCTCAGTGCCCTTGCCACGGACCTTCATGTGCCACTCCTGGGTGAGTAGCTAGGCGAGTGCCTGTGCGGCCATGACAGCTTACGTTGATCTTATTTTGTGGTGTCTTATGAAGGCGAATACGGGCTCACCCCAGACCAGTTTCACAAGGTGGGTGCGTGGGTGGGTGGGAGCTAGGACAGTGAGTGCTGTGCTGCATTGATTGCTCGTACAACCCACGGCCTGGCTGCATACATGCGCTGCACGTGTGGTCTGTGGTTGGTTGGTTGGTTGGTTGGTGGGTTGGACAGGTCGCAGAGGTCAGCGCGGCGTCGAGTTCGATGAAAGGCAAGTTCGATGAAAGGCAATCGCGTACACAAATGCTCACACACTGACGTATGATGAATACATACGTTCAGGTAATCCTGTGCAGCTCTCCATCGACCAGCTCAAGACCATCCTCAAACAAGCCACCTAGCGAATGGCTGTGGCGCGTTCATATTGTGTGCGTGCATTTATCATCGTTGGTGTGTGTGGGGGGCGGGCAGGCGGGCGGGCGTGTTCGCTGCGGTCTGTTGTGTTGTATTGTGTTGTGTGGGTGGCGGGCTGCATGCATCTCTCGATAGCGAGAGGCTGCACATTTTTAGGACTGTGCATCGTATGCGAATGAGACAAGGCTTAGAGTCAATCGGACATTATTCGTCGAAACCTTTTTACGCTTCAGTAGGGTAGGTATGTGGTGCGCACATATCCTGGCCACTCTGCATTCAGCCAGCTTTCCTGGCCTTGGCAAGCTTCTGGCGTAGGGCACTGCACCCCGGAAGCAAGCCAAGCCATATATATCGATCGCATCGACTGCTTACAGTACAGTACAGGTATATGTACTGTCATCAGCTATCGACTGTCATCAAGCTGACATGGTGTCATACGCCAGCCCAATCTATCTATCCCTCAATCTATCTATATATATCTGAGGGAGCAAAGCCCCCGGTGCAGTGGCAGTGACCACTGGCTCGATGTTCAGTCAATCTCTCGTTTGGAAGATACCTCTCTGCCTGCCTTTCGCCGATAAGACTCAAAGAAACTCACACTCTCAGCATTGGTCCTGGGCTGCATTCTTCGGAGCGCCTCTCTCAAGTGTGAAGCCGATACGAGCACACAGCTCGGCCCCCCGTTGTCCCGTCCTGTTGCGTGTGAGCCACCCCGGTCGTCTTGCCCTGCGCGGATTGCGGCTCGAATGGCGGCCATAGCTGCCTCCCGACAGACCATGCATATCTCCGCTCCGCTGTATCCCTTGCTGTTGTTGACCAGCTGTCCCAGGAAAGTCTCGAGAGACATGCTGTCCTGACCGCCTTGTGAGTCTTGAGTGCCTAGGTCGAGAGGCAGGCGACTCAGATTGGCCTTGAAGATCTCGTATCGAGCGGCAGCGTCAGGCAGGGAGACGTACAGGAGACGATCGAACCGACCGGGCCTGCGATACCGCAGGAAGGAAGGAACGACAGACGCAGTGCAGCTAGTCGATTGATAGCTTATCGATCCATCAACACAAGCAGGTACGCACTGAGCCACCTGAGAAGAGCTGCATCAAGAAGGTCAGGCCGATTCGTCGCAGCTATAACAACCACCTGCCTGCAAGCAGGAAGCTACCACAGCTGTCCCCTGCCTGCCTGCCTGCCTGGCGGTCTGTCTGTCTGGCTGGGTACAGCAGGTGACTTGGCTTACTTGACGGGAGCAATGCCGTCAATCTCGTTGAGCAGCTGACTGAGGACCCGGCTACCAACCTGATGAGGACATGTATATCATAATTCACTCGGCACATTCCTGTTGACCCACAGATCTGTCGGTAAGTGGCGCTTCTTTCCTTACCCCTCCTGCATCTCCTCCCAGCTCTCGGTCCACACCGAGGGCATCGATTTCATCGAAGAATACCACGCAGGGAGAGTTCTGACGTGCCTTCCTACACGCATCCACGACACCATACACTCGTGGATGCCCTCCTCCCCCCAGTGCTGGCTGCGACTTGAGCTCCCCAGACCTGAAGAGTTCCCGAACAGCCCGCTCCGCCTCGCCCACCCATTTTGAGAAGAGCTCCGGACCCTGTAGGAGGGAGGTAAAGTAGCACGGCACGAGAGACAAGCACATGACCGGATGCGGGCAACTGGAACAGACAGCAATGAGTACCTTGATCGAGATGAAATTCATTTGAGTCTCAGTAGCTACTGCCTTGGCCATCATGGTTTTGGAATTGCCGGGGGGACCGTAGAGCAGCACTCCACGGGGAGGGCTCAGCTGCAGATCGCGAAACAACTGACAGATACACAACACGGACACGTCACAACTATTTTGTGCTTGACTGACAGCCACACTGGACGGTCTGTCTTTCGCGGCGCAATCGGCGCACATGTCACCCACCTGCTCATATCTGATAGGCCAGTCGACGCATTCCTGCAGCTGGCTCTTCAGGTCATGATATCTGGGCCACATACACAGAGGCATCTCTCCTTCCGCTGTGAGCTTGACTCGTACCCTCCGATATCACTCCATCTGACCTCCGGCACCTCTATGTGCAACTCCTTCATCCCAGACGGCCTGCCAACACCGTCACAGCCAGCCAAACTCGCCACTCACACCCGTTGTTGCTTGGCTGTGTCGTGTTGACCTGACGAGCTTGAGCGCCTCCTCAAAGCAACTCAAGTTTAACACACTTTCTGCAGGCGGCCCGGCGGGTGAGCGAGAAGATACACGAGTCAGAGCGACAGACGCAGCAGTGTTCACAAGGGCTACCAAATCGGCGCCGACAAAAGCCTGGCACCTCTTGCTGAGCTGCAGACATGCACAGCAAGCACAAAGGAAGGACACCGATTGTATATGTCGAAGGCAGCCAGCCGGCGAGCATGGCTGCCTATCCATCCGTCGGTCGGTCGGTCCGTCCGTCCGTCCATCCGTCTGACCTCTTCGATGTCTATGTCGGTCAGGGTGTGGGGCAGGTGTTGGATCGCAATCCTGATGATCTGCTGGCGGTCGGTGGCCGTCGGCACTCCGACCTCTACCTCCCTCTCCAACCTGCCGCACCGCCGGAGGGCCGTGTCCAAACTGTTCGGACGATTCGTGGCAGCAAGAACAAACACCCCCGGGCACGCACGAGACCCATCCAAACACGTCAGAAAGGTCCCAACGATGCGACGCTCAGCCTGGTCCGATACGATTGCATATTAAGCAAAGAAACGACCAAGAGTCAATGCGGGCGAACTCAGGTCGGCTTGTCTTTCTGTGCTGCTTGTGCGGTCACTAGCTCATTGTGCCAGTCACTCAACTCACCTCGCCTGCCTGATCCCTTTGCGGACATATGGCATCAATCTCGTCGATAAAGATGAGAGTAGGTGTCCCATAACGTTCCCATCTTTCTTGACCCCTCTCAAATAAGTTGATGATTTTGCGCTCGGACTCTCCCACGAAGTGACCCAGTAAGTCGGTCGCGGCGACCACCTCCAACCCTATGCCAACACCCTCCGCCACATGCCTCTGGTGTTGTTCTAGCTCCTCCACAAGACAGCGAGCCAGGAGCGTTTTGCCCGTTCCTGGAGGTCCGTACAGCAAGACGCCTTTAGGAGGTCGTACGCCATACTCTTTGTACAGCGACGGGTGTAGCAGCGGCCACTGCAGGATGCTCTGCAGCTGCTCCACCACGGACTGGAATCCTCCAAACCTGCCGACACTGTCTCTATTAGAAGGTGCGGCTGGAGGCGTGTGGGGCTGAGTTTACCTGCGAAATCCACTTGAGTCGCGTTTGGTGTCGTCAACGCCGTGTGAATCCTTCGCCCCTTCTGCGTGGCCAGCCAGCTGCAATGGAGGTGCATGTACAGCGACTGACGTCGTCACCTCCACCCTTCCGCAGAGCAGCTGGCCACTCGTCGCTGCTCCTGCATCTAAGCCGTCGTGCTTGTCGTACGAAGAATGGAAAGCCAACTCAGGCTCGTCACCTCCCTCTCCCGACTGCCTTCCACTAACGTGATCTTGATGTCCAGCTTCGGAGCCGCGGGAATGCCGCTCGATGCGCCCAGCGGGCGATGGATCGGGAGGAGGTTCACCAGGCTGAAGGGCGACGTCGACGATTCTGAAAGCCGCCAAGCTTCCACGCAAGGAGACAACGATCCAGTTGGACAAGCTGTAGTAGCCCCCCTGGATCGAAGCTTTCAAGTACGACACTGACGCAGGATCACCCAAAGAAGACACCAGGGGGAGCTCAGACGGGAGCCCGCCGGCAGCAAGACGAGAAACAATGGATGGCGGGGCGGCAGGGCACACCGTGATGGCCGCCGCGCTTCTCCAGTGATGCGATGCCAGCGGTACCAGTAGACCACTTGTTCGCCGCATGGTCAACGAGGCTGCCTTCCCGCATTCTTGTCGCCCGCCTTCGTCTTGTTCTTCTTCGGTAATTGATAAGTACATTGCCAGGGAAACCGCCGCACTCGAGGGAGGGAGCCTGTCATCCTTGCAAAGGAATCCAACAGCCTGAGGTGGATGACACGCCGCAGACCGCGACGAATCCGCTCCACAATGCTTGATCATCACTAGCTGGCCCTCATGCAGACCACGTTGGCTCATCAGCTTAGGATGCACCCGAACGCCGCGGGCTCCAACGTTGTAAAGGGAAAGATCCTCCCAAAGGATGACGTCAAGCGATTCCTCATTGTCCTTCCTCTGCCGACTGCATGGTCAGGACACAAACGCAATCATTCACACACCACCAAGGTTGCACGAACTTCCATCGAGCTCACCTCAGAGTACTCATCTTGATTCAGGTCGGTCTTATGCCGAAAGCAAGCTACATCTATGCGGAAAGGATGGCGTCTCACGATCGAACCAATGTTCGGAAAATGCCGCTCGTCCCCTTCCTTCGTTCCTGGCAAGCGTGGTGCGGCAGCCGTAGCTGATCTCAACGTGCGACGTCGGAGTTGCGAACCGGATCGAGGAATGTCATACTAGCTCGCTAGCGAAAGAAAGCTGCCTATGTTGCCAGAACACTCAAGCGTCGCCGCGGATGTGGTGAGCTAAGACCACAACGTTGATAACTGACTTCGTTGTACCTTTGGGTGCCAGGCATTGTGGTTGAGCGAGAGGAAAGACGCGCTTGCGGACCGTGGGGAAGTACAGGTTTACGAGCATGCATCGGTGTGCCTCGACGCCATCGAGCAGGCTATACCAAGGCAGCCGAGAGAGGTCACGGTTTACCTTTCGGCGACCATTGCCTCCCTGCTTTTGGAGCTCGAGGAGTGGACGGGTGGGAGTGACACTCGTCTGCAAGGTCTGGCGCTTTTGGTGGGGCTCTTCTTGCGGCACGTCCCTCTGACAGCAACACCATCTTTGGCTGCCACGGAAGGCTCGCTGTTTGAGGCAATGGAGAAGGTCAGGAGCAAGCAAGAGGGAGCGAGGGAGAAAACTATCCTGCTGGGAGTCCTCACGCGGCTGCTGGAGTGCCTCGCGGCTATGTACGACGTGCTACACGCGCATGGAAGTCACAATCAGCCACGCGCGGGACCCCTGAAAACGCTGCTGTCGGTGCTTTTTGAGGCGGGTGAAGAATCTCGAGTGGCTGCGTTGAAGTGCGTGGTCGCGCTCTGCCGCTTCGAGCAACAGTCTGGGCACGAGCTTGCAGGCTTCACGCCGCACCTGGGCAGTCTAGTCTTCAGTGACAGAACTCAGTCGGATCCAGTGACGAAACGAACGGCAATTCGGCTTCTCCGTTCGCTGCTCCCATTCATTCCTGTGAAGACCTTCCGAGAAGTAGTCGACGATGTGATCATCCGCATGGCGAAAGGGGTCGCCGGAGCTACCAGTGAGGCAGCAAACGGCCTGCGGCTTATTACCGAATATCTAGCGCCGCAGGAGAGCGATCCCAGCCCCTTCGCATCATCGCGCGTGGAAGCAGATGATCTCTTTTTCTTCGCAAACAGGCTAGCCGTGGAGCGAGATTCTTTGAACCTCAAAGACATCGGAATATCCTCTGCTTTCATCGAAGTCAGCGGAAACGTGATTGCAGCGATGTGTGAGCAGGGTGCGCAGCAGATCACGCAAGACAGATCACGCCACGATTTATTGATTCAAATTGATGATCTGCCGCCTTGTGAATCGGATCAGGTCGGACGACGAATGATCTCTTGTATGACTGGTGGTCCTTTTCAAAAAGGCGGCTTGAAGAAGGAGAGCCGTTGCTGACCTACACCATCACAAAAGCCATGGTACATTTGCTATTCCACTGAAGGCATCAGAATTTACTTCATGTGTAACCCCAGGGAAAAGTGGTTAGCTGTGCAGTTGCACACGATGTCGAGGACTTTCCTCGTCTTGTCAAGGAATGCAGGTGAGGTGTATTGCCTTAATATTCTGCCTTTTGAATCTTCAAGCCCTCCCCTGATGGTCTGGTCTTTCCACAGGTCTTTGTTAGAGTATCGTTTGAAAGGTGTGTGGCCGTCGGTATTCCCCGTGATCACGGAACTCTTCACGGCAATCGAGCAACGCGGGCTAGAGTTCCTGCTGCAGCAGTACAGCCAGAGGCAGGCAGCTATGATTGACAAGGAAGACGATGAGCTGACCGACCAAGTCATTGAGGATTTCCGCTCTTTCTGCCGATTGCGGCTCCATCCGTGCCGTGGACTGCTAGAAGACTTGGCAAGCATCATGAAACGGGCAGTGGAGCCATTGGACCATTCAGCGACTCTTGCAACCTCGTCCCGGTATTAATCAGAAATGTTTACGTTGACGGATTGCGGACAAGTTTGTTTCGAATTTTTCCGCAGCCGGGGTGTGGAAGATGCCTTGGGCGCCGCAGCGGTCGCATTTTCGGCAGCTCTACCAGAAGTTCTGAAGCTGCCCTTCTTCGAGCTACGTCTCGACAGCGTGCCCATCACTGATCCAGAATTCTCCACCAAGGCAAACTCCTGGCTGTTGCCTGTTCTCAAGCGGGCGGTCAAGCGAACCTCGCTAGTTTATTTCCAGAACGAACTCCTCCCATTGGTTCGTTAGAAAAGAACAGGAGCCACGAACAAGAGAAACTTTTCCTCTTCTCCCAGGCTTGTCAACTCCAGCAGCATGCTTCAAAGCTCCAGAATGAACACAGTCAAGACATCACAGCTGCGGCGTCTGCAAAGAAATATCAGCTGTTGGTGGGCAAAAGGGATTGGTACCTTCAGCTGAAGTCTCCGTCTTTTTGTTTTTTCTCCCAGGCCGACCAGATTTGGAGTTTGCTTCCCGCGTTCTTCACCGAACCAATTGACCTGAGTGCCGTCTTCCCTGATGCGCCTCAATCGTCTCCTTTGGCGAACACGATGCTGTCGTTTTTGGACACTCAGCCGTCGTTGCGCCATTTAATTTGCTCAGCACTCACGACGATATGCGAGCAGTCAAACCTAGAGCACGGCGCCTCCGGCACGGGCGGCGAGGCTGTTGTTCTTAAGACAAGCCAAAGCCTCATCTGGCTTACGTCGAAGAGAAATCACCGTTCCCTCCGGTGTTATTCCGAGCGATTCTTGCCTCTTCTGTTCACGACGCTGTTGAAGCAGGAGGCGGAAGTGGGAAGTCTGAAGGCTATACAGGTGAAAACACTCTCGTACATTTCCTCCAAATGCTTTCATGTGTACACAGGCCTTAGCGCACTTCTGTCCTGGCAATGTACTCGATTCCTACTTGAAGAACATCTGCCGCAAGCTTCTGAAAGCGTCTTTGGCCGAGCCGGGAGGAGATGGCCGTTCTCGAGAACCGCACAACGTCGTCGTCCTCGAGTCTGCGGGTGGAATGGTGGCCCTTGCAGAGTTGGCGAATGCTCTAGTCCCGGCTCTTCCTGCTGAGACACGTAGGTCACGGCACGGAGTTCAGCAGTCAGAATGAGGGTCACTCGCCTTCTTGCTTCAGTACCCATTCTTCTGCGAGTAATGTGTCCTCTTCTCGTGAGCGAAGAGACGACAGTGGCCAAAGAAGGAGGAGGACGGAAAGGTTCGGTTCAGCTCAGTCGCCGTGCATACAAAGCCGTACGGAGTGTGATAGAGAGGGAATTGAACGAAAGCCTCGACAAGAGTGCCTTCTTACCAAAGACACCTCTACACACAATTGAGGGCTGCAAAAAGCTTTGGGAGGTAGGTCACGAGCTGTTGTCACACTTTCTTTCATTTCGAATTTGTTCGAACCTTCAAATATAATATCAGCATTTGCAAAAGGCACGACAAGGATGTGGCCCTGGCGCTCTAAAGGTAGTAGGACTGATTGTCTCTTGGTCGTGTATACCTTTTTTCTTCCTTTTTAAGTCTCGGCTGAGCTGCATCAAGGTCTACTGTCGTCTGCTTTCGTTGCGACAAGGATCTCAAGGAGTTTGGCGGTCACATTTCCATGATGTCAGTGCATGTCTCGTCCCTGAAACCCTGATGTGTTGCAAAAGCACAAACCAGGTAGGAAAACACCTGTTTCGTTTGCTGACAATGACGTACACTCACCTTCATTCTCTCTTCTAAGGCTGTGCGGGCGGACGCATTGGAGATCCTTAGACTGCTAGCCGCGTCATCTGGGGACGGTACTCTCACACGCCGTAGAAATAAACTCTTGTCTTTCCTCAAGGCTTTTTCAACGTGACTTTGGCAGTGAGTGACATCGTCGCGATGATTTCGGCCGGATTGGCAAGCACCAGTTCACCGATGAAAGCTGCAGCTGTACTCGCATTGACGCAGCTCTTGCTCAGTCATGGTAAATGAAGCCTGCCACCGTCTCCTCGCATCCGCTTCATTTCCCTCTAGGTTTGGCGGATACTGAACCATTCCGGCGAGTCGTTCGAATCGTGTTGCTTCTACTGGGGGATGGCGACAAGTCGGTTTTTGAAGCAAGTTTGAGATTCGCGAAGGTGATTACGCAAGGTGTTAAGTTTTCTTGGGTGTGTCTCCCTTCCTTCTTTCTGTTATTTCAGGCTTGTGTGAGGATTTTGTCCCTGGAGGCCGTTACGGAAAACCTGCCTCTCATACTAGAAATGCTTAATAACTCCCACGCAATTCGATGTACGCGCTATATGTGATCTCATCATTTTGATGCTTTTGCCGCCTTCTCCACAAAATCAGACCGTATTCTTCTTCACCGAGTTATTGAGAAGATGTTGAAGAGACTGGGTCCTGACTCGCTCGCAGCCGCTTTTCCTGCTGACAAAAAGGACCTCCTCTCGTATTGCGAGAAAAGAATGAGGCGAAGCAAACACGCTACGGCCCTGAAGCGTAAGAGGCGGGTCTTGGCGCACATGCACGGAGGCGTTAGCGACGAAGCCGAGAGCGATAGCGAAAGTGAAGATATCGGCCGACAAAAGGATGCCGATTTTCGTATTGAAGAAGGCGTACCGAGTCTGCAGAACCTGCTTGACGACTTCGAAATGGAAGACGGTCCGAGTCGCAAGGTCGGTGACGCATTTCTGGTGTCGAGTCTTGTTTCAGTATTTTGCTATGGGTGTTGTCAGAGATCCAGGGCATCAGGAACCCTTCAGCTCCGGGAGGAGCTCGATGACGAAACTATCGACCTTTTCGCCACCAGCGGTACGATCTTCATGGCTGGTTCATCAGTTTTGTATGACTAGATCGATTCTTACCGCAGCAAAACAAGCCTCGATCCGTCCAGAGTCTAGCAAGCAGCGGAAAACGGAAAAAAAGGTCTTAGAAGCCTTTGAGCCGCGCGGACAGATTTTCGGATCTTCCCGGGGACGTACGATATCCTCTAAAGAAACTGACGACCGGCAGCCAACGAAGAAGGGTCGAACAGGTCTGCAGAGCTACGCCTACATGCGCATTGGGAAGAAGTCGAGCCAAGGGCGCGGAGCAAAAAGAGTGAGTACCTTTCTCAGTTACACTCTCACAACGTGTGTCATACTCGCATGTGTCGTCTGCAGCACATTGCCAAGACTCTCAGACTCTCTAGAAAAAAGGAAAGGAGACGCTGAAAGCACTTTAATCCTGTACAAAGGAAAGGAGACGGATGACATTATGAAAAGCGCGATGGTCTGAAGTAGCACTAGCAAAAGCAATGTCGACGAAGCGCCCGATCTACAGTTTGCAGCATGTGCACAAGCGCAGATAGTACGCGCGTACCCCACTGCAAACTACCACGAGAAACGTCGGACACACGCGGAAAACCGCTTTCCTGCCTGCACTGCCTGTAAAATCCGCGCACAGAAGTCTGACACTTCATAGCTTCGCAAAACTTGTTCCACGGTCTTGTAAAGGAACAATCTGCCTGGGTTCCGGCCCTGCAATTCCATCAACAGTCACGGTCTTCTCAAGTCGGGTACTGCTTGCTTACCAACGTAGAGGGACTGTGGACGGATTAGTCTGTTATCTTGGCGTTGCTCGACAACATGGGCAGCCCAGCCCGCGGTCCGCGCAATGATGAAAAGGGGAGTAAAAAACATTGTTGGAATGCCACACCTGAAAAGTTGGAAAAGCAAAAAAGGAATATACATAAGCCCGAACAGTCAATTGTTACTCGTGGTAGGCAGTGGCGCTGTAAAAATCCAAGTTCTGAAGAGACAAAGTTGACGTCTGATGCGTTGGGGATGTGCAGAGAGTAACAAGCCTTCCTGTACCGGATACATCTGTTTTCTCTCCAGCATGGTCTGAGAAAAAAAAGGCACTTATGGTTATAGCCGACCTGCGTTGAACAGAAAGCATCTTACCTTTTCGACTGCCTCTGATATTCGGAAGAGCTTCGCATCCGAATTCGGACGCTCCGATAGAGCCCTGGCGAATTCCTTAATTAAAGGCGATCGGGGGTCTCCTGAGGAAGGGAGGAAGGAACGAAGGGAGGAAGGAAAGAAGGAAGGAAGGAACGAGTCTTCGGCATTGATTCGATCAAGCACGCCATCGCCCGCTTGCGATCACCCCTCCTGTTTACCGTGCTTGTACATCCTGAGGAAATCAGTGCTTTGCGCTTACTAACGTTGTTCGAAAGGCTTGCTCTTACCTGTGCCCAAATCCCTGAGAAACACCGGAAACACCGGACAACCGACGGCATTCTTTTGACAACTCTCCTTTTTTTCCTTGGTTACCATCACAAGTTCTTTTCTTGCGAACATTTGCTCTAGCTATAAGCAAGAGCGCGCGATGATTCAATCGTTCAATTCCGTTGCCAGTACCTGCTGTCTTGCGTCCATCTCGTCCTTAAAGCCCTCGAGCATGTGCCTGACGGGCGATTCAATCTTGAGCAATTGAGAGGGCAGTTTTGGTGCATTACATCGCCGCTTCGTTTGCTCCGCCATGCAAGGGACCTCGAAGGGTTCCTTGAATTTCAAAGGAAACAGATTTTGCACCTAACCTGCTCATGGTTTGCGTGCACACTATACATCACTCATACCTATTGCTGAAGTTATGCACGAGTAGAAGTCCGACAACGTTGCGCATGTTACTCGCGCCGCAAACGTTGAGGCTGCATTTAGCAAGGTAAAAAGTCCTGTGCTCTCTCCAGGCTGTCCCGTTCAGCCAGTTACCGTTGAAGTCATGTTCGGCATACAAGATCAGCGACGCATCGACCGTGCGGGCACACAAGGGATCAATCTGTGCCAAAGCAGTCAAAATCGCTCCACAAGGCCACCCTGAGGGGTTTGCTCCATGTGTTTTCTGGTGTCTACCTTCTTCGGATCGTCATGGAGGAGATGCAGAAAGTGCTCCGCAACGGAATCCTTCTTGCTCGTTCCTGTGTGCGACGACCCCCTTGCTCAGTCTGCCTTCATCCTTCTCGCGTACCGGTGTCGATCCGCTTTCCAAAGTGGCTGAAGTGGTACCTGCAACGTTACCTCCGTCTGGGCGCTGTGTTTTCTTTCCCACCCTTTCTGCCTACCAGTAAAAGAGCATGGATGCGTAGCACGATATCAGACGGATGGCAATGTTCACTTGCTGCTCGTTTGGGTGTGTCTCTGGCTCAAACGTCCCCAACGTAGAGCATCCTGTTCGCAGAACGTCCTTTCACCAGAACAATGAAAAAAGGCTGATAAGAAAATCCTGGTTTTGCTCGTAGCCCGCCTACCATAGGATGAGCATCCCTGGGGAGCTGTTCGAGCACTGTTCTCAAAGGCACCGGCAGGGCCCTGCAGGTGCCCAACGTGCAGAAACGTCAGACGAGGTGGAAATCGCCGCTATTGATCTCATTCACCGGTTGGCTGCTATTGTGTCTTGAAAGGAGTGTAACTGTGTCCGAGTAGGGAGTTCCTTGAAGAGGAGAAGGTATGCGACCTCTTCGAACGTACACTGGGAGCACAAATCCTCAATGGCATACCCTGGAGGGACATCAATCATCCAACTTGTCGCTCGCTGTCCTCGCGGCCTGCCCTTACCTCTGTACGTGAGGCCAGTGCCTTTGAGACCCACAGTCGATATCGAACTCTTCCCAGCAATGACTCCTGCAAGTCCCTTAGAGTAGGAATCAGCTGCCGTGCTGTTCATCCGCACTCCGAGAGGCAATCGAGTCGCCAACGGCAACAAGCGGCGCAACATGAGCCTCTCTCACGCTGGAGGAGCGAGCTAGAACTGCACACGGAGGGTTGATTCAGGCGTGGACGCTAAGATCAAACACCTTGCCGCACAGGCTTGCCAGGCAACGAAGGCAGGGAGGAAGGAACGAATCTTCGGCATTGATTCGATCAAGCACGCGATCATCCGCTCGCGATCACCCCTCCTGTCTGCCGTCGTGTCCGTGGTTTGACCAACCTGTAATCAAGATGAGTCTTCTGAGGTGAGCTCGATGAAACTTCGTGCAAACTTTGGATGTCTTTTCGCTGGTTCGTGTGTTTGCGATAGTAAAATAGCAGAGATTGAGGCCGAGATGGCGCGAACGCAAAAGAACAAGGCCACCAACTATCATCTCGGTCTGCTCAAGGCAAAGCTGGCCAAACTGAAGCAGCAGCTAGTAGGTCATGGTTGGTCCCGTCATCATTCATTGTGTGGAACTGTGTGTTGTGATGGTTTGCAGATATCCGGCAGTTCAGGCAAGGGAGGTGGCGGTGGCACTGATGGTTTTGATGTGACCAAGACAGGCGACGCTCGAGTAGGCCTCGTCGGGTTTCCATCCGTAGGGAAGTCGACTCTCCTCAATAAGCTCACGGGTCACGCTGAGATGGCTGCGTCAGAGGGAAGCATGCGATAATGCGCTGCCACCGTCGTCTTCGTCGTCTTGCAGGCACGTATTCTGAGGTGGCGGCCTATGAGTTCACGACCCTTACCTGCGTCCCAGGGGTCTTCAAATACAAGGTAGAGAGCAGCGGGAGCCCGGCTCTGTCATCTTCAACTCTGCCTCCCTCTTTCCCTCTCCGTCGCAGGGCGCCAAGATACAGTTGCTTGACCTTCCTGGCATCATTGAGGGCGCTAAGGACGGCAAAGGACGGGGTCGTCAGGTCATTGGTGTAGCGCGGACATGCAGCCTCATTCTCATCGTGCTGGACGTCATGAAGCCACTCACTCACAAGAGGATCATCGAAAAGGAGGTGGAGGGGTTTGGCATCCGGCTCAACAAAAAGCCGCCAAACATCACCATCACCAAGAAAGACAAGGGAGGCATCATTATCACCACCACACAGCCACTCAAGAAGATCGACGATGAGACTATCAAATCGATCTGTCACGAGTAAGAATACCAGCGCCAGTCGGTCTCACCGTGGATGAACATGTGTTGTGTCACCGTGCCACAGGTACAGGTGAGCGAGCGACCGACTGTGAGACGCACGCATCGACGGAAGGCATGTAGTCGTGTGACAAGCCTTGTCCACTTCTCTGAGCTGTAGAATTGGCCACCTCAATGCGTGTGTGTGAATGCAGGATATCGAATGCCCAGATACAGATCCGTTGTCAGGCGACGGCAGACGACCTGATCGACGTCATAGAAGGGAACCGCGTCTATGTCCCGTGCATATACGTGCTCAATAAGATCGACCAGATCACTATCGAGGGTATGTATGTACGGACGTATGTATGTGTGCATGCACACAGGGGCCTCTGAGAGAGAGAGAGAGAGAGAGACCCGTTGCACCACATCCCCGCTTCGGGAGCTTCTTGCTTGTTGGTTGCTGCAGAGCTGGACATATTATCCAAGTGCCCACACTACGTGCCCATATCTGCGCACCATGAGTGGAATTTGGATGGGCTGATTGAGAAGATATGGCAGTACCTCGACCTCGTCCGCATCTACACAAAACCGAAGGTACGAGTTGGGATGGGAACGGGAGACGCCACATGGCAGGCAGACAGGCAGGCAGCGTGGACGGACGGACGGACGGACGGACGGACGGACACTTAAGTGCCTTGCGATTGATATCCCTTCTGTGTGTGTGTGCCCCACGTTACACATACGAATACATACTTACAGGGTCAGATTCCCGACTACAACGCACCTGTCATTCTGAAAAGTGCTGAGACCAGAGTCGAGCACTTCTGCCTCCGAATCCACAAGACACTCCTCGCGCAGTTCAAACATGCTCTTGTGTGGGGCAAGTCGGTGAAACACAACCCACAAAAGGTCAGCTGCCTCAGCCAAAAGCAAACATCTATAGTTCATGATTCATGTACGTATGTGCTCACGGCTTCCTTCCCTTGGCCACTGCCCTGATGTGCTTGATGTGCATTAATGAATGGCAATGCAGGTCGGCAAGGAGCATGTCCTTCAGGTCAGTGAGTCTGCCACTAATTTCCGTCCGCTGTGTGTCAGCGGTTCATTCCTTGGCTTGGGTGCGTACACGTGTGGCTGTGTGTGCGTAGGACGAGGACGTTGTCCAGGTACATGTGGCCGAGGGCGAGAGGGGGCTTAGCCTGCCAAAACGCCATGCCGACCGATGTGTTAGAGTCTCTTCCCTCCTGCGTGTTGTGTTGGCCTGGCTGGCCTTTCGGTTGATGCAGATCATCAAGAGATGAATGCCACATGGCGTGTCTGTCGAGTCAGTCGATCGAGTGGCGAGCAAGACAAGACACGCATAGGTGTGTATTTGTGCTTTGTGGGTTGGTTGGTTGGGTGGGTGGGTCACTCACTCACTGACTTACAGACTCGACTGACTTGTACAGCCGCGTGTACATGCATGGCATAGAGGCGAATCGATGTTCATGGATAAAGTATACGTTGACCAATCCAACAACAAATGCACACAACACAACACGAGTGAATGAATGAATGTGTCATAAAGGATGGCTGTCGATAGATAGCAGTCTGTATAGCTAGCTGGCTGTCGACCTGGCTCTCTCTTTGCCTGCCTGCCTGCCTATCTGTCACTTGAGTCAGGCAGGGGTGGTTCGTTTGGTTCGTGTCGGTCTTTTGGTCTGTCTGTCCGAGCATGCCATGCATCCATCGATCGATCAACAACACACATGTACTATACATTCCGTTCATTCATTCACTCAGTACTGCCTGCCTGCCTGCCCTTGCCTGCACCCACTCATTCACGCCCCGCCCCACCCCGCTCACCCATGCGCTACACCTTAGTGCGACTGCCTCGCGCGTTGTCGGAGGTACATGACGATGTCGTGAAACAGATCCTTCTCGTCCACACTGTTGAACCGCTGGATACATACATCCAGCCATCCAGCCAGCCAGCCACAGGGACACAGAAGACTCACATACATGAATGACATCATCGACTGGTGCTCGTCATCACGCAAGCTGGCTTCCCTCAACGGACTGGTGGTTTGTTTGGGCCCCACCCTTTGCTTTGCTTACCAAGGGTATGCAGTTGCCCGACTCTTCCAGGTGAATGGCAAGAGACCTGACGGTCATGACGCACACCACACCATATGGACGACACAATGCCGTGCCATCACTCCCACATTAGATAGATACATACGCTCGTACACACTACAAACGCCATTGCATTGCTTGTCTCAATTCGGCTGCCCCGCCTGGCTGGCTGGCGTGGGCGAGCCAGCCAGCCCATCCATTATGTATGTGGCGCCCTGCCCTTAGTGCGTGTGTGTGGACTTGCCTTGGGTCGTCAACGATGCTTGCCCTTGTTTCTACTCTTTTGAGCTGTCTCGACACCAACAGCGCCTTTATATCACGTATCGCTACCTTACGGGTCTTCTCCTGCACGCACACCACAGCCAGCACACAGCAGCACGTAGGAAGGACACGCAGCGACCGACCGAAGAGGCCAGACAGACACGAGCAGGGACACCCAGACAGCGGTGGAGGGAGGAGTCAAGTGAGGGGCAGTGGAGGTGAGAGTGAGTGAGTCATCCACCCATCCATCCCACCTGGAAGGAGATGGTGAAGGTAAGGTCGTCAACGTCGAGGCTCACAGTACACAAAAGGGAGGTGCCGTCCTGCACACACGCACACACACACAGACAGACAGACAGACAGACAGAGGAAGAGAGAGAGTGAGAGTGGCGATCAGTGTGTCCCGTCCTCCGTCCTCCCGAGATTGACTGTTTGACTGGCTGGGGCTGGTTGGTTGGTTGGTTGCCTGACCTGCAGGATGACGGTGACTCTGAGCCCATCCTGCAGCTTCCGTTGGAAGGCTTCGAGCTCAGGGGTGAAGGCAGCCGCCTCTGCCCCCTCACCAGGGCCGCCTGTCGGAGACCCATTCATCCTGAACAATCAACCAACGAACCAACCAACCAAAACATGAACCAATTGAGTGAATCACACACATACGTGCACAGAGGACGGACAGACAGACAGACAGACAGACAAGGGGAGGACAGGACGTGACGTTTCATTGAGCCCGCCTGCCCGCCTGCCTGCCTGCCTCGCGAGCGAGCGAGCGAGCGAGCCTGGCTGCCCTTCCCTCCCTCGACCTCTCCTTCTCATGTATGTTACCTACCCATTGGTAGCCTGCACCATCATAAAGTCACACACAGGACAACAGAGGGTAGCTAGCCTATTGCCTTGCCTTAAGGGCGCCTGTCTGTGCAAGTAGGTCTGTACTGATGCTCACGTGGTGGCTGCCTTGCGCCGTTCCGTTGTCCGCATATCCAAAACGGTTCCCTGCAGGCAGGGCAGGCACCACACGGACGTGCCGCGTCTAGACTTCGTGCAGCTGGCCCGCCCCAGGCAGAGCTGAGCTCGTGACCGATCCGAGTCAGGCGAGCTCTGTTGGTTGTACTGAATTCTCTCCCTCTCCCTCTGTCTGTCTGTCTGTCTGTGTGTTACCCACCCACCCTGTGTGTCATTGGGCGGCAGGAATACGCGGTCCCTGTTCTGACCCACGTCGGTCGGCTCGACCTGACCCGCCACCAACACCAACAGAAGACCCTCATAAGCCATTCACTGGATGCCCTTTCGTCCTCCCTCTGTGCCCCCACACCCACCGCACCGAGCAACATGAAGACAGATTCCCTGCACGCACACCCACACAGCAGAGGCCACCAAAGCATGCCGATAATGAACCAACCGTCAGTCATGGCTTTCGTGCCATTTCTCTCCTTTGCTTCCCGTATGTCTTACCCATTCCAACCCCCCTCACAACCGTGCTCCTCCCAATCACCACCCGGCAGCACAATGCACCGAACCTGCCTCACCACTCGTCAGCACGGCTCACAATCAAAATCAGTCTCTAGCGCGTTTCGTGCGAGCTTAAGATTGAAGGAGACGCCAAGTTGAAGAGGCAGAGGCCATCAGTATGAAGGGTGTGCAGCTGAGTGCTGAACAGCTGCGCTGCATAGAAACTGCATCTGCGCTGGCGTTGACGAGTGGCGGCGTGTGTGAAACTGATGAGGCGGATCAGGAGGACCAAGAGGCTGTCGACGCTGACTACGACCGGTGAGGCCACAGGCGACAAAGATTCATATGCACTGGTTGTCAGACTGCCTGCACTGCCCCGGGTCCCTCCCTCCTCCCTGATCTTCCAGACATACATACGTGTGACTGTTTGTTGATTTCTCCACCAGGTACTGCCACATCAAGACCCGCCTGGAGGGCGCTGGCGCCTCATCTCTCGAGACCCAACCGGTAGGTAGGAAACCAGCCAACCAACCACACATCGCACTGCGGGGTTTGTGTGTGATGGTGTGTGCTCATGTATAATGCCTGCCTGTCGACCAGCTCAAGTTCTTCAGTTTCTACAAGCACTTGGAGGGGTCCTACTCCCGGCTGCGCGGATGGCGCGACAAGAGCCCATGGAGATGGTCCGTACGCAAACGGGCAGGCAGGGAGGGAAGTGTCATGCACCTGCAGTCACTGCACACACAATCAAACAATCAAGGAACCACACACACACAGCCAGCCAGCCCGACACAGAGAGAGATGCCATGCCTTTCTCCATGGCATGGATGGGACGCCCGATGTGTCTGCTCTGTCTGTCTGTGTGGTTGTCACATGTTTGGTCACTCCACTCCCTCCGTCGTGCAGGCTGGAGTCGTTTCACGGCTTTTGCGACGATCTGTGTGCCAGGACCAGCGACACCCGGCAGTGTTTGCGCGATCTCGAGTCGCTGCGCAAGGACGTCATCGCCAGGACGGAATCCTTGCACAATGCATGCGATGCCCTGCTGCAGCAAGAAACACATGCTAAGGTAGGTAGGTGGGTAAGAAAGGAAGGAAGGAAGGAAGGAAGGGAGGGAGATAGAAGAGGGGGAGGGGGAGGGAGAGCCAGCAAGTGGGTGGACTGGACTGGACGAGACCAAGCAAGGGAGGGAGGGAGGGAGGGAAGCAGAGATGGAAGCCGGGCACAGGCCAGCCACCCACCCACCCCACCCACATCGAGAGTAGAGTGTGTGTCCACGTGGATGCATATGTGTCTCTGTGTGTGTGTGTGTCAGTGCGTGTCTGAGGCCATCAAAGTGCGGCTGGACCACTTTGACTGTGTGGAGCAGATCAGTTGCTTCTTTGACCTGCACCGCCCCGACGACGTGAGGGACCACCTGGCCGCCGGCCGGAGGCCATCTCACGGTGGTGGTTCAGGGGACACTCTACCCCCACCCCCACCACACACAGCCGTGGAACTGTCCCCACTTGTGTCAACTAGTGCCGAGGGTCCTGCTGCTGACCCCACACCGCAACCCCAGTCCCACCCCCATGGTGGTCCTGGCAGTGGGCACTACGGTGTGGGTCTGAGCAACCCGGCCTTCCACCCGTCCTTCACCACCATGCTGGACCGCCTCGACGATGCTGCACTCTTCCTCGAACAGAGGGGATACGACTACCTAGAGGTAGGTACACAGCTGGCCAGCCAGCCAACCACCCACCCCATCAGCCAGCCAGCCAGTCAGCCAGCCGGGCCAGCCAGGCCAGGCAGCTGAACAACTTCCTTGACACGTACGTACACATCCATACATTCACATACATACACCTACCTGCACCACACCACCCCCCACCCCACCCTGCCTTACGTACTTACACACACTGCCTGTATCCATGCCAGCCACGCCATTCATTCCATGCACACATACATATGTCTTTGCTGCCTGCCTGCCACTGTGTGCTGTGCTGTGCCCTGCCCCACCCATGTTACATATCTTGCTCCTGTCTGGCTGTCCTGTCTGTGTGCCTTACATTATTCCATCCACCGATCCGTCCGTCCGTCCATGAATCCATCAGGCTCAGCATTGCTCCCGTCAGCTGGACCACTTGAGGTCCCGTGCCTGCACCTTGATACGCTCCGCTGTCGTGGGGGCTGTCGACAAGTGCGTGGCACAGGTATGTGTAGCGAGAAGCAACCGAGGCGAGGCAAGGCCTGCCTACTTACTGTACTTACCGTACATACACACAGCGTGCAGTGAATGCCACAACACCACACAACACCACACAAGACAACGCACAAACAAACACACCACCAGACTGACTGACTATCTTTTGTGTGTGTGTCCAGGTGGAGAATCAGCTCAAGAGTGCTGCATCCGAGCGCAAACAAATTGAGACGTCGGTCTTCTACGTGCGCTTCAGGTAAATAAATGGGTGACTGAGTGAGTACTAACTACTCCACACAATCAATGACGGGCAGGGCAGGGGGCTGGATGTGATGTTGGTTGGAGTGAGTGAGTATTGTACAAATACATACAAACATCCGGCCCCTCTCTTAATGTGCGTGTGTGTGTGTGTGTGTGTGGTCAGGGCGACGGCCAGCAATGTGAGGCATCTGACGGCGCTGTTGTGCAAGCGGTCCAATGCTGCCGTTCACGAGACATACACGGCGTACGTACGGGAGGGAGGGATGGATGAGGCACACACGACGTACGCACGCTGACAATATCTGCCCACCTCCATGCACTTGCACAACACAGCACATTGAGAGGGGGCAGGGGAGGCCAGCCACGGAGGTGGTGACACACCGACAGGCAGACAGACAGACAGACAGCTAGACGGACAATGTGGTGTGCGTGGGCGTACCGGTCGTCGTCGGTATTTGCGTCATCCATCCATCCATCATCAGGTGTCTGGACGGGATCGAAAAGTCCTACGCGGCAACACGAATTCGCCTCATTACAGACCCCCTCCGCAGACACATACAGGTAACCTGTGTGGGTAGATTAGATACATACGTACACACCTGCACACTCACACACACACGTGCACTGCATTTGTGCGGTGTTTGTTGGTTCAGTCGATATTGAGTCAGTCATTGCCTCGTTCGTTGGCCCCAGCGTTGCGTCAGATCACATCCTACGTCGTGTCGATCGGCCAGCTCGAATACACAACTTTCGAGGCCTTCTTCGAAATCAGACAGCCGCAGGTAAGTAGCTAGCTGAGCATCCGCGCCCCTCCGGTTGCCTGTCAAGTTTCTGTGCTGTCTGTGTGTGTGTGTGTCGGTCTGTGCGTCGACTGGTGGGCGCGAGCAGGACAGTTTGCGTGAGTTGTTGGAGAGCATAGGAGGGCTGTACTATGACCTGCTACGGCCATCCATCCTCGCATGTGACGCGATCGACGAACTCAGGTGGGGGAGCGGAGGGGAGGGGGCCCAACCAACGAACGCACCCGCTCACTTCCTTCCTCGTGTGTGCCTATCTATCGTTTGTTCGCTCTCTCTCTCGTGTGCCCTCCTCCCTCCTCCCTCTCCCTCCCTCCCTGTCATCCTTTTATCCATCCATCGATTGGTATGTATGTGTTACACACTATTTATGAGTGTGTGTCCTGCAGGGAGGTAGCCGAGAGTCTGTCGATGGACGTGTTGGAGCCCCACAGTCAGTCCCGCAGGGGCGCTGAGCTGGCACCCCTCCTCTCTACCGTCTGCAGACTACACCTGGTCAGTCAGGCAGTCAGTCAGTCGGGCCCTACGCCTTCCTCCACATAGATGCTCGAATCATTACTGACTCATTCACTGGAGCTCACACGCACTTACTTGGTCGATCTTCCTCCCTCCCTCCCTCCCTGTCTGTCTGTCTGTCTGTGTGGCTGTGTGTCTGTGTGGCTGCACACACATAGGACGTGCAAGAGCGGCTGATATTCAGGATGGAGACGTACGTCCGTGACGAGATCGCTGGATTTGTGCCATCGGACCAAGACCTCGACTACCCCAACAGGTAGGCCAGTCAATTCCTTATTCACTTGCACGGGCGGGCGGGCGGGCGGGATGGCCAGCCGGCCGGCTGAATGCAGTGAGTGCACTCACTCAGCCGTGTCTGTCGTCGGTACCTACTTCAGGCTCCTGCGTGAAGCTGCAAGTGCAGCAGGGGACGACACCTTGTCTGATTCGGCAGCTGCACCAGCTGCCCTTGCAGAACCGGCCATCACGCACAGAGGTGGGTGGGGGCGGGTGGGCGGGTGGGGGTGGTTTGGGACAGGGACACCCATGCCATTCATGCGGATGCACCTTTGTGTATGTATGTGGGCCGAGCGGACCTGTCTCTCTGTCTGTCTGTCTGTCAGGTGTCAGTGGCCCGGGTCGGCCGACGTCCGGTTGGTATCCGACTCTGGAGAGGACTCTGATGTGTTTGTCCAAGATATACCGCATCCTCGAAGCACCAACCTTCCAGGAGATCGCCCAGGAGGCCGTCGGCGTATGCCTCGGGTCCTTGCTGCACGCATACAAAGAGATACTTGACAAAAAGGTGGGTGGGCCTGGTCGCCACGCCGCGAGGGAGGGACAAACCCAACGCTACGCAAAATGGAGGGAATACAGTCAGCCCAGTGCCTGCCTATGGAATCGCTATTTCTTTGTTTGTGTGCAGGGCGGCCTTGACTCGCTGCTGTTCCTCATCAAACAGCTGCTGATTCTCAGGTTAGCCAGCCTGGTGACGCCAGCCAGCCCGCTGGGGGAGGGAGGGATATGCTATGCTGATCTGATCATAGATAGATAGATATATTCATTGTGTGTGGATGCATCCAATGCACCTATGTATCTATGCGCATCTATGTGTGTCTTGTTGTGTGTGTGTGTGTGTGTGTGTGTCGGATCTGCCTTCCTGCAGGGAGCAGGTGTCAGCGTTTGAGGTGGATTTGGTCCACCAGGAGCGTACGTTTGACTTTGCCAACGTGACCAACCAGCTGCTGGACCTCGTGTCGGTCCGCAAGTGGATGAGCTTACACGCCACTTTCTCCCTCGACTCCATCAACAAATACATCGGCAACCCCGTCTCCCTACTCAAGGCACTCACTCCACAGCTCCAGGTAAGTACGTAGGGAGGGAGGTATGTCAGACAGATAGACAGTCAGTCAGTGGGGAAGGAAGGATCAAGGGGACCTAGGGCAGGGCAGCTGCTCTCATCCGTCCGTTTCTCGCTTGTCGTGTGGATGTGAACCCCTGGTTTTTCTCTGTCATGCTGTGCTGTGCTTTGCTGCAGGAGAATCGCACCGACACGAAGCGTGCGATGGAGGGCGAGCTGAAGCATGCGTGTGAGGCTCTGGTCGCTCACTGCTCTGCCATCAGTAAGCAAGCCAAAGAGACAAGACAGACAGACAGCTCTGTGGGTGCATACGACATATGTCGGTCGGTGTGCCTATTTGTTACTGCGCTGCGCTGGTGTGGCTGGCCCTCACTGCTTGATTTAGTTGTGTTGCCGCTGGTCAAGATCATCTCCCAAGTGACGCCAGCCGACCAGCTCACCGGACAAAGTAAGGCAAGGCGGGAGGGAGCACATTCGCTGCCCTCCTTCCTTGCTCCCTCCATCCCTCCCTCCCTGGCTCCCTGGCTGCCTGGCTGTTTGGTCCGTCGGTCGAACTGTGTCATGTCTCGGTGTTTGGTTGGGTGGCTCATTGATTCATTCAGGTGCCAGTAGTTCCAGTTCTTCAAGGCGAGACCAGCCCTTCGCCAGCAAAGGTACACACGCGAGCCGTCAGTGAGTGAGGGAGTGACGGGTTTGTGTTGTCATTCATCCCGCCTGTCTGTCTGTCTGCCTGGCTGGCTGGGTGGCTGGCTGGGTGTGTGTGTGTGCATTGATTGCATTGCGTTGGTGTGGTGCGAATGGAATGCAGACAAGTTGCAGTGTGCGGTAGAGGAGTATTTGTCCAACATCGAGAATGAGATCCCCAAGATCATCACGTCGCTGCACATCTACCTGGGCAGCGGCGCCCCACCATACATGGACGACGGCCGATCCAGTGTGGCAGGCGGATCAGACATCGGCACCGGTGGTGGTGCTGCCACTGCACGCACCGACGACACTGGTGGGGTGGCACCCCACAGCACAGTGCTGATTCTGCTCAAGCCCATCCAGCTGGCCATTGTCGAGAGCGCGCGTCAGTTCGACCACGTGCTGCGGCGGGACTTGCAGCTGTCCGACCAGGAGGTCGACGACATCAAATGGCTACCGCCCCACGAGATCGAGGCCAAGGTCCTAGCCACCACCGCCACTTGACCAACCCTACCTACCCACCCGTCGAATCGAATCAATCAAGTCGATGGATCCCTTCATTGTTCTGTACAGAAATGGATGGGATGGTGTTACTCACTAGCTACGAACGGCTTGGTGTGAGTAGACTGGAGTGCCTGCCTGCCTGCCTGCCGTCCACGGATGGATGGGCGGATGCATGGATGTCAATTCATCGTAGATAGATGGTCCTCCCTGGTGTCGGACAGGACAGCACACATTACATTACATGAAGCAAGCCATTTGAGTGCATGAACGAGCGATGAACGAATCATGTCAGTCTCATAGTGGGACGCGGGAAACGGAGCATCTACCCATCGATCCATCTGTCTGTCTGTGCACGTGTGTGAGAGAGCTGGTCTGCATCCGGGACTACCCTCTCCACACAGGAAGGTGACTTGCCCGCCAGCCACTTACCTACCCAATTAAGTCGACTGACTACTCATTCATCTCGCAGCCAACCCACCAGCCAGCCAGCCAGCCACCATACATAAAAACGCACACACGGATGGAGACAACCTGTTTTCGTTCGCCCTACTCACTCGGCTACCCATCCCCGGCTGGTCTTTTCATTTCACCGCATCCATCCCTCGATCTAACTACCCAGCCGTCCGCCAACACTCACAGGCAGGGGCTCGCCCGCCCGCCCCTCAACGAGTCAGTCTGAGTTGACGGCTGTGGCGAGCAGCTTGCCGCCTCCCTGCTCTAGCCTCTCCGTCAGCCTCCCCTTGGCAGCCAGAATCAAACCCAGAAACACTGGCGATGGCGACATTGGCCTGCAGGAACCAACCACACACACACAACAACCAACCAAGCAGAGAGGAGACATGGACGGCGATCGTCCTGCCAGCCAGCCAGCCAGCCCAGGGCGGGGAGGTGGTGTGCTCAGGTACCTGGATTTGAATTCCGGGTGGAACTGTGTGCACACGAAGTAGGGATGGTCGGGAATCTCACCTATCTGCACCACACATCGCATACATACGCATAGATGACACACATACATATTCACTACCATCAAACCTCACGTGAGCCCCGCCCATCCGCCCGCCCCGGCAGCGTGCGTACGGTACCTCCATTCTCTGTCCGTCCTGGTCGTGTCCCGTGAAGATGAAGCCCTTGGACTCCAACGCTGCCACCATCGCTGGATTCACCTCATACCTCACCAAACACACACACACATTCAGCCAGCCAAAGCAAGCCACCAAATAAATGCAATGCGTACCTACCGTAAACTAACACTCCCTCCCTCCCTCCCACTCAAGTAAGGACATGTATGTGTGTTATATACATACCTGTGTCTGTGTCGTTCGTGAATAGTGTGCTGGTGATCGTACAGCTTGAAGGCCAAAGACGACGGGTCCCTGCACACACACCCAATGCCTCCGTGTCATTCGTGTGTACGTCATGTCTGTCTAGTGGTGGGCGCGTATGTCATACGATACGCGATGCGATGCGATGGATGCCATGCATACTTGATGATGGTTGGTCTGGTTCCCAGCCTCATGGTGCCTCCCATGTGCGTCTGGGACACCTCAGGCATGAACACCACCACTAATCAATCGCACACACACAGCCGGGGGGGGGGGGGGGGGGG